CCGCGGCAAGGTGCGCGGTGCGGCAGCGCGGCGTCGAGCGCGACGATGTTTTCGAAACTGCGCGGTGCGGAGGTGCGGCACCGCGCGTTACACCAGTTTTCGAACTTTCATGGCCGATGGGTGCGCATGCGGTGACCGGCCCGATCGGACTTGTCGCACTCAGGCGAGCGCCTCGGTCGAGCTCAACTCGAGTTGCCGGTACGTATTATCTCCCGTGCTCTAGAGCGCTTAGTCGATCGACGAGAGCAACATGGTCGCCACCCTCGTCACTATCGCAGTGTCTCGCGCGCGCATCACCTTCAAGCCGCCCGAAGGCCAGTACTCGCAGTGTGTCTCTGGGTATATTTACATGACTCATCACGGGGGACCCTGGATCCGATAATGGGCCACAGCTCTCCATCCCAGCCTCCATATAGCTCCATACCCGAGGCAAGCGCTGGTCAAGACTGGCCCGCGGACAGTCGTCCTCAAGTCAGAGATGGTGGTGAGTCGCGATCAGGCACCATCGAGCTCCGAACCTCGGACCGCTTTCGGCATCTGCCGTTTCAATACCTTCTCTCCTTCTCTCCTCCGCGGTTCTTCGTCCACGACGACGACCTCGGCCGCACTGCACTTCGTGCTTGCGGGATGTTAGGAGTCTCACAGGCTAGCATTCACATAGCTTATGCTCTAAATTCGCAGTTTGATCCCCCTTACCGAGCACGCCTACCCTTCGTTTCCAAGGCCGTTACGGTCTCTCCCATTCCTACTTGTGCAAGTTCATCGGAGAGGCGCTGCGATAGCGACAAGGGTGGCGACTATGTTGTCCTCGTCATGGAGTAGTAGACGAAACGCCCTAGTATCAAGACAGGGAATTCTGCCAAGCACCGCCAATGTTCGAGAGGTGTGGATCTCCAGAAGCGACAAAACCCTCCCCGAGTTGTAGCGAACTGGTGTGCCTTCAGCCCGTCATGGTTTCTGTAAGGCCGAGTACCAGACGAGGCATCTACGCCTTCGCCCTACCCGCTCTCTTTACCCTTTCTTTGATCTCAGAATCAGTCGCCGTCAAATCGGTTGATCTCAGCCCTCGTGCACCAGAACGTCGCCGGGAACTTGCCCTCGTAGAACACCGCCGAAGCACAGCCGTTCATCGCGCGGCTCCCGTAGTTACTCAGGTTCTAACTCGACCGCCTCCCGCTTCTCGTCAGGCTCCAAGTCATCCTGCTGTTCGTGCACTGGGCCACGTATGCGCGGTTGCACAGCCGGAGGTCAACGACACAGCCAGGGTTCCGGGCTCTCATGTCTCTCGGTCGCCAACCGCCAATTTCGTATATACCCTGCAATTCGACTTCGACTTCAGTCGGACACGGATGGTGCGCTTCGTTAACGCGCATTGATCGCCAGCTCAACATGTGCACAGATCCTGATTCACCCGTCAAGCGCCGTGCGCTCGAAGAGAGGTGGCTCGGCGCCTTCGGCGATTAGCTCTCGCGCTTGAACAAGGTCACAAAGTCCACCAGCGTCGACCTCCTCGTGCAGAAATCGTTCAGCTCCGTCCTGTACTCTGCGAGTCAGAACTGCGCTAGCGATGATGGGACAACAACCTTCTGGCAATGGTGAGTCTTGTCATGTGCTTGTTCTGGATGGTCACTGAAGCACGCTCTCAGTCACCAGTGTCATTCGTGCGGCAGAGCAGTCTGTGGCCGCTGGATCTTCGTTACCATCTGCAAACGACTCAGTCCTGGTGGCACAACGAAAGGAGAAGGAGGCCCGTTTTGCTCAGTCGTGCGACGCTGGAATCACGGAGATTATCAGCCATTGGTGGTCATATTCGCCCGTCACAGTCGCCGACAACGAGAGAATCGAGCTGTCCTTCGTCGAAGCCACTGGCAACTCCGAGCATTGGGAGACAGAGCTCGTGCCGTGCTCTCTCAGCGAGCCATTCACGCATGTTGCCCAGCGTTTCCATGTGGATGTGGCCAGCAGCAAAAGATACAGGCATCCGTTCTTGCCGTATCGTCCCTTTGACCTTTTGCTGAAGAGCGACCAACGGTCTGACTTTGACTCTCTGTCTTCGCGCACTATAATCGATGTCCTTGGCTATAAAGCGAGGTTCGGTACGTGCACAAAGACGACGGGCAAGCCTCACGCGAAGAGCAGGAGAAGTTGCCCTCGAAGCTCTTCCCGCCTTAGGAGCGGACGCACCTTTTGCCATCATGGTGCGAAACGCCCGAGTCGTGGTTCAAGCCTGCGCCTCCGCCGGGGTTCTCTGCCAGGAAGACCCAAGGGAAGCAATACTATGTCAAGATGTCCACTCTACACATCCCGTTCGCTTGTATGCGCTCCGCCACGTTTCAACCGCAGCACGTAGCTCGGTCCTCCACTTGTCCGTGCAAGACAACCCGATCACAGGCCAGACGAGAGCGTTCCCATTTGATCGTGAGAAGGACCTTGTACCATTCGCCAACCGTATTTCTACTACGACGATCACGGTTGAGGCCGCTCGCTCGCTCTTTGGACGCTTCGTGCAGTCGTCGACCGAACCCCTGCGCGATGATGCACCGCCAACCGCTAAGAAGCAGAAGAAGACGATGGGGAACGAATACCAGGCACAGACTGTCGCTATCACTTGGGGTCTCACTGTCGATCAAGACGGTAAGCCGGATTGGTCGCACTGTGCGACACTGGCGGGCCGCCTGTGAGGCAAGACATCGTACTCGACCTCACGGGGCAGCTGAACCGACCATTTGGCTGTCCGGGGATCAAGCACACACGTTGTGCTTGGCTTGGGGCAGTCGTGCTAGACACTGATCGGCGAGCATTCGAAAAACGTGAGAGCCGAGCAGAAGGAGCGACCTCCGCAAGATGCAGACCAGTTCTCGAAATGGTCGCAGAAGACGCACAGGTGGATCAAGAACTTGAATGCGGAGAACGCCGACAAACTTATCAAGGTGAGCTAATAAGCGTCACCTGTTCGTCCGCATGCGAGCGGTTCATGCTAAGGTTATGCTAGGTGGGCCAGAACGGTACCTTCCTCGTCGGCGAGCTGGTCAAGGGCGATAGCGATGAGTTCGAGTTCACCATCTCAGGCACGAAACCCGGCACCTGGCGCAGGCTAGTCTCTGAACCGTTGCTTGCGCAACTCGCATGGGTTTGCAATGGCACGGTGAACTACGACGCATTGCCGCAGGAGAGCGGCGAATCTCCGCGGCCAGTGGATGTCGATGATAGCATAGAGGAACTTGGGACGTTTACTGTAGACTCGAGCCATGCTAGTCTCTTTTCCCAGAGCGCATTTGATAGCTTAACGTCTGGCAATGATCGAGAGGCTCATCGATGCGGGTATGGACGGTCGGGGAGATGAAGTGTATGTGCCAGGCGGTCTTGTCGGTGAGCCCTTGATACACCTTCATGGAGGAGGGACGCTGCCTTGCGCTTGCCTCCAGTGAGCGGGGACGACGGGACATACGTCGGCAAAGGTACGAGAGATGATGAAGCGCAAATCCTCTTTATGATACCACCCATGCATTGATTATCTTGACTGCAGTCTTTGCGCTCGCAATTAATTGTGGTATGACATATGAAGGCCGTGATTTGTACAGCTCAATAGTAGCGGTATATCTGAGTGCATTATGCGAATGTTGTGAATCTACATCAGCGCATGGCAAAGCCTAACCCATCCAGCGCTGAATACTTTTCCAGTATGGCCATCGAGAACGTCAGTACCATTCGACTTGAGGGATCTGAATGACGTACTAAGCGTCGTAAATGGCATACATCCAGCGAACGGATGGCTCCCCCGACCCTGACCCGTAATTACATCGTACTGCTCTCAGATGTACCCCGTCCGCTCATACTTCTGCGTCAAGAGTTAGCACAATGACGGGCTTCATACGAGACGAGAACACACCTTATGCATGTTCTGGATGATATTTTCGTTCGCTTCATCGTAGACAGCCGTCGCCTCCGCTTGATACTGGCCCTCTTTCGCAGCATACGTAGTATGAAGCGGGCGCAAAGCGAGGCAGTTCATCTGCACTCGAACTGGACCCTTCCAATAGTTCTCGCCCTCGCCGAGCAACGGGTGCGAGGCGGGCAGATTGCGAAGACCGCAGAGAGACCGGAGGTGCCCGGAGTTCAGGGTGGGGCTTGAGGATTGCGCCAACGTGTGGTGGATAGGAGGAGGAGCTCAAGCATGAGCGGGAAGAGCGAAAGGTAGCCGCGGTTGCACTTGAAGTAGTGTTCGTCTGTCCCCCATAGCTCTGTCCCCTGCTTCACCATCTCGTTCACAAGAGATGGGTCTCTCGCTCTGTTTCGAGCCCGCCGCCACCGCCACTCTCACTCGTATCAGCTAGCCGCTGACAAGTTGCCTCGATACCAGCGTCCAGAGCCAGAATCATGTCTGCTGCGAGCCTCTCCCAATCCGCCGCCGCTGACTCATCTTCGATCAACACAAGCTGGTCCGCCCACATCGCAAGGCCAGTGATAAATACACGTATCCCTCGTTTGCCGCCTTGTATGCGACCTTGCCAGTCCATACCACTTGTCGGGGATGCGATTATCTCCCCGGCCCCATTGCGCCTCGCGTCCGGCTGGATATGCGACCACTGCAGTGTGAGGGCGGTGGGAAAATCCCAGTCCATCAGGGGGGGATCCGACATCAGCCCCGCGAGACGCTACGCTATACAAGCGCGCTTGGTAGCTTTGGCCGAAGTGCTTGCGGAGCCACACAGGACGCGTCGCTGTCCCTCCGCCGTTGAGCCCGAATTCGCGCCATCCCGAGAAAGCCGAAGTTGCGATGACCTATGACGTATGTCAGCACGAATGACCATCAATATCAGATGAGCAACTCACAGGATGCGCCGCCTCGTAGTCGAGGTACTTCAGCAGTAGCAGTTGAGCGATTTGGCCATTCACCGACCATTGCGACAGCCGTTGCGCAGCCTCGGCGAGAAACTTGTACCACCCGGACCGTTTGCCGTACATGCCTTCGGCGTCAACCTCGGCTAACTGCGCCATACACGAGACGACCAGGTTAGTGAAGGCGTCACCCTGTAGTCTCAGCAAAAGGTAATGCAACACACAGTGCGAGAACGTACCGGGAGAAGGACTGTAATCTGGATGGCCTTGCGCGCATCTACTAGCGCACGACGCGGATGTGAGTGCTGCGGGCACCAACGGCTTTGGCACCACCGATATGGGCATTAGAGCATCCTGTGCTTCCGGCGGAGGTGGTGACAGTGTTGACGGTACCGGAAGCGGGGTGATATGAACGGGTGGCGAGGGTGGCGTGATGATCTCGTCGGGTGGCGGCCTCGACGAGCGTTCGCCCGACGACCCTTCATCGCTCGCAGGGACCTCGCGAGTGATGGCTGAGACCCCTTCGGTGCTCGAGTACGCGCTGGGTGTGATGGTCTCAGGCGCGGGTATCGGCGCTGTGATGATTTGGTCGGGTGACGTCCTTGACGACGGATGAATCTCGCCGGTGATAGCCGAGGCCCTCTTACTGCCCGAGGACGTGTCGAGTGCACTGGCATCGAGCGTCAGGTTCGGTCCATGCGTAGTAATAGCACCCGGCTGAACTGCTGCCAGATGCGGCGCTGTAACGGGCGTAGGTGGCGACGTCGTGGCTCCAGTCGGTCCAGTTTCGTCTTGAGGCACAGTATCCATCGGCGGCACGGCTGGGCTGAAGGGACGCTGAGTGAAAGGCGCCTGAAGTCCCTCATCCGAGCTTTCGTCAGAAGTCGTCGGCGAAGTGAAGCGCGACTTCGTGTATTTACGCTTGCGCGGTGCGTCGTCCGCTCCCTCCTCCGAATCGCCCTCGTCGCCAGACTCTCCAGACTCGCTTGTGTTGCGTTGCTTCTTCAATAGGCGCTTTCGCTGCAGAGGCACGGAGCTGTCCCGCGCGGTTTGCGGCCCAGCAGTTGGCGGAATGTCGGCGGCGATACCCGCTACTACAGCAGTCGTACCAGGGTTCGCCGGAAGTGATGGTGCAACAGGCCCAGGCAACGTAGTGTTGGCGGTAGCGGGTAGAGATGCTGGCGCCGATGCCTTTGCGGAGGAGATCGGCATCGTAGCAGAGGCATCGTCAAAGCGAACGGATGTATGAGGTGTCGAGGATAGTACCGCCGCCGCCGTGACATCCATAGCGCTAGACGCCTTCTGCGTGGCTGGAAGGGCCTCTCCGTCGTCGACGATCCCACTTTTTATCAGCTCACGCTGAGTGAGATCGTCGCGTATGGCCTCGCGCCGTATGAGCTCGGCACTCCAGTTGGCGTCTGGCAGAAACATCAGTACGACGGCATGAGTGTTATAGATAAAAAACCTACCAAAGACCTTCTGGCCAGATTTGCCGAAGCGCGAGCCCATCTCGTATACAGCTTTGTAGTCGATGTCGGTGTATCGCAGTGACCGGCGTCCTACGGTCCCGGGTATGCTCGCATACTCGCATCTACGCGACTTCAGCATTGGACACAAGGTGGTTCTGAAGCACTCACGTCGAGACCTCCATCTCCACCTTACCGTCTGGCAGTTCGCGCGGTGCCGCGAAGAATACGAGAACGGCACCACAGGAGCTTTCCGCGATGACTTGGGCAGCGCGCGCCAGAACTGACTCGGCCTCTTTGACGTACCTGTCCCAACGAAGCGTAGTCAGTGAAATATACACCACCCGAGCTAAGAAACCATACTCTGCAGCTTCTTGAGGAGAGGACGGCTTGCGCGATATACCCTTCTCAAAGTTCTCCATCTCCTCGGCGTGAAGTTCCTCGATCTGCTGTAGCACCTCCTCCTTCTCCTCCGGCGTCGCCCCCTCCCACTTGAGTTTCTTATACGCCTTCCGCTCGTTCATGGCCACTGTACGCCGCGCCTTCGGTAACATGCCGCTCGTATCTTTGCAGGCAAAATCCACATAACAGGGTCCATGATGGGGGCAAACGCTAAGTCTGGGCCACCGGACTCCGGGGCCGAGGTGCAACGTCACAAACACGCGCGTCGTGACGGCTCGCGTCGAGGCGCGTAGCGCGCAGTCTACCTGAAGCTACGTACGGAATGACTACCTTCGTATACACCCGACTGCCAAGGCTTAGAGACTATGGGTGCATAGATACGATTCCAACCTGCAGCCTCCTTCTGCAAGGGTAGCAGATGGCTGGTGTTTTAGAATTGCATAAAGTCTATGGACTGTCCATGCATCCGTGGCTTTGAACTTGTACTGAAAATCGGTGAGTAGGAAGTAGAATCTGCCAGCCTCCGCATTAGAGAGATGGCTCACACGTGAAGGTGCGTCAGTCTTGTTGACTGTGACTCCCGTTGACTGCGTGACTGTTGATGTGATGGGCAGGCGTGCACTCAGGTCAACTTCTCTTTCGCTCTATCACTAGCACCCCCTTCACGCGCTTAGCACTTTCGGCTGGCTCACCATGGACAGGAAGCGGAAGACGCCGCCTGACGCGGGGGACTCGGCAGCACCCCGTGTATCGGCTGCAAAGAAGTTGCAGCAGCAGCGTGCGGCGAAGAAGAAGCGCGCGAACGACGGTCAAGACGTGATCACCAGAGGCGTCGGCCAGACTGCGGCTCCTAGCACGACGCCGAACATGGCTCGTCTCGCTAGCGCTCCCGTACTTCTTCTGCCTTCAAGGACCTCCGTACTTGATTACTCGCCCGGACGCCCGGCCCTTGGTCTCTCCACCTCGCGTTCTCCTTCAGCGACTCTTTTGGGCAACATGCGGTCTCCTCCCTCGCCGTTTGTTTTCGGTCGTGACAACACCTACATCTTCCGTACAGGGCTTACGCCATCCATGTCGCCTGGTATGTATCACCTCTACAGAATGAAGCACGTCGCGCTTACTTCACGAAAGGCAACAGTGACGACGGGAACTTCGAGATGGACGCGCTAGACGACGCTGACGTTCTTCCCCAACCTCCTCGACCCATCACTACGCCCGCTATGACGCTCGGTGAAGAAGAAGACGGCGAGGAGCAAGAAACGCCTAAGCGTTCCTGGTGGGAAGTCGCGGGTCGTACGATCGACACAGTATCTGCATGTCTTTATGCGCTATGGAGGTACGCGTGCTGATGGCCAAGATAGGTATACGCAAACGTTGGCTGGTTTCTCGGTCATCGCGAGCAGTTCTTGCTCGAGACGCTGCTCCACGATGGACCCCCTCAGTGCAAGAAGTGCATCGAATGCGTTCACTTCGAGGGCGTTCCTTTCGACGACGCGCCGGTCCCGGAGTATCGATACGAGGACTGTCGCGGCGGCGAGTGGTGCAAGATCTGTGTTCGTGATGTGCATCGGTATACGCCATTCCATCACATCGAGGTATGTGCTGTGTACGGCGACGGAATGAAGTCGGGTACTAATAGTATCATTCGGCAGCATTTCAACGGCCAGTTCTGGGAACACCTCAAGCGCAAGGCAACTCTCAGCATCGAACTTCAGCTCATGCATCCGGCCGGGGAACAATGCACTCTACACGGAGTCCAAGTCGTGGACAACTTCGCCGTCGTTCACGAAACGGGTATACACAGGACGCGCCTGCTCTATTGCTCTTGCGCGAATGGACGAAAAGTCGACCACTGGGCCCAATTGATGCGTTCCCGACTTTGGCCGGCTACTACGTCGGCACCGAAGACGGCAACGACTTTTGAGGCTTTGGACACGTTCTTGCGCCTCTCTATGCTCGGGCGCCTCAGCGGTTATGACTATCATAAGGCCCTTGAAGCTGCCTCTGACGGGGCTCGTGTTCTCGGTCTCTCGGTAAGTCATCGACTGTAAGCTCGCACATCGGACGTTACTGAGCACGGGCGCTGGGATCTACGCAAACAGTTCATGCGGTGTGCGCGACAATTCAGCCACGTCTTTCTATTCAAGAGAGCTGGTCGTGCACACGAGAACGGCGGAATCGCTGGCACGCCCCAGGGAGGTTGCGCGATAACGTGTCCGGCCTGTCCGAGAGAGGGCTATAATATACCTAGCGATTGGCGCCAACGACGGTTTCCGTGAGTTCTTGGTCTATATGCGTCGCACAAGTACTAAGAAACACATAGATGGTCTTGTCGTCTTCATGTCTCGACGGACACCAACTCCAGACTTTCCAATCGTCTAACGCGCTCGAACGATAGTACGGACCCATGCTTTAACGATGGGCGCGCCTACATGGTTCCTATGAAGCCATTCAACGCTTACGTCAACGCCATGGACGCGGGTAAGTACGGCAGGGTCGAAGAAGTATGTCCTATCAATCTATCAAATAGGATCTCGTCTTGCTTACTCGGCACTACAGGCAGCGGATTGTTCGCGTTTCAAGGCTCAAGGGCAAGCCAATCAAAAAGGTGGCAAGGGCTATCGTACTATCGCCGGCGTCGCTGGTGTATTCTGTGCTCGCCATGAGTTTTGGTTGCCGCTCGGACTGGCGCCATTAGTGAAGGGTGAACGGTGAGTTGACATATTTGTATGAGTTCAGTGCCAGATAGCTCATTGAGCCCATAGCTTTAGTGTCATAGATTACATCTCTTGCATGGTGCATCGCTATATCAAGGTTCCCGTCGTCGTACACTCCTATGACATCGTGTGCCAGTGGCACAAGAACTTGGAGAAACGTCTCGGCGCTATCAAGACTACGGACGGTGCTCTCTTCGAAGGTGCACGCGCAATGCTGGACCGCGTCAAGATCCTCGTCGTGCCGAAGTTCCATATCTTCGCTCATGTTCTGCGCTGCTTTGTGCGATACAACTATAGTTTCACGCGAGGCGTTGGACAGACCGACGGTGAAGGCTGTGAGCGTATCTGGGCAGGGGCAAACCCGGCGGCGACGAGCCTGCGAGAGTTGGGCCCTGGCTCAATGCGTGACACCATGGATAGTATGTGTAGTTCGTGGAACTGGCAAAAAGCATGCGGGCTCGGTGCGTAACGCCACATAGCTATGTATCGGATGCCGTCCTAATTGTAACGGGTATCTACAGTATGTGTAGACTACGTACGATACTGTGGCACCCTTACGGCGGCTACCCCTACGTTAGGGTTACGTTCGTATGTAGTCGCGCGTCGCGCGTTCGCTCTCCCTACCTACTACCACCACAACCACTTTCCACTCTTCTTTCTCTTTCTCTTATCTCTCCTCTCATCTCTCTCGTCTCTCTTCTCTTCTATCTCATCTCTCAATCTCATCATCTCTTTCCTCTCTCGACTCGTGCCTCAAGACTCAGGGAGGGCTCTCTCCCTCAACCTCAACCTCAAGACATCGTACCTGTCGGGCGGCCGAGTGCAAGAGCACCGGCCTCCGTCGCCCAGGGTACTCCGGGCTCGTACGACGAATACGTCGTGCGAGGAGCTTGCTCTCCGGGGCCGTGAGGCCTCGGATCCCTCGCGTCGGGTCCGTTCAAGGACGCCTTCGCGCCGCCTGCCGCTCGCGTACCGCTCCCCGGTGTTCCCGGCGTGCGTCAGCTTACGGGCTGGCGTCACACTAATGTCGTTGTAGCAAAGTTATCCAGTGATCGTATGGAGACCGCGCTTACCGAGGCACGCACCCACGCAGGCATCTTCACGGCCTTCACGACCACGCTCGAAGAGCGCGATCCCGAAACCCTCGCGAAGTGGGACGGCGCCGTCCATTACTTCGAGAACGACGACGCTCAGGCGTCTAAGCGCCCTTGTCCGTATGAGGAGCGAGACGATGACGGTACGTAGTTCGCCGAAGTTCACCATCTTGACTTCGATGCTTACCGGTGTTAGTTATGCAGTCGAAGGACGTCGAGGCCCTCGCGGAGGCTACCGATGCAGTACACGGCTGTCCTCCGGGATGCAACGAAGGTCACGCTCACGCTCAGACCGTCGACTCTGTGGTCGGCGAGGACGAGGATGAGATGGGGAAGTTCTTACTGCGAGGGCTAAAGATTGAGGATCTTCGGTGCGTGACGGTCATACTGCATTGTCTTCGAGTATTGACGTCGACGTATTACAGCGCCAAGTCCAAGGCGGGTGTCATCGATGAACCCGATGAGATCGAGGCGGGTACAGACAAGGCGATGGCCTACATGGTTCTGGCGTTCAAGGAAGACCAGGTTCGTCTGATGCCTACCGTGGGCTTCAGAATGACTGGCAAGGACGCCATACCGGACAAGGACGAAGCAAGCACGGCCAAGATCTACTTGCCTTCGGAACTGCCGGCATCAGCCCGCGCTGAATACCCCGCGATCGTGCGACTGGAGACGTCTATGCGCTGGACGCGTATGCAGCAAGCGCTTGGCAAGCTCCGTACGCTCTTGCAGCTCTCGACTTACATCAATAAGTTGAAGGTGCGGTTCGTACGCGGTCAAGGCGCCTCCACCCGAGCCTGCAGTGCGCAGGAGGCCGTTCACCAGCGCGTCAATGTCGCGGCGGACATGTATCGGCACGACCGCGCCGCTTACCTCTCGTTGGCCGGCGATGGTACTTGGACACAGGGCTATCGAGAGCTCAAAGACTGGGACGTCCGGGGCCTGGGCGACCGCACTGTCGAGCAGATGGAGCAGTTGTCCCAGCGTATGGCTGAGAAGTTTGTCGAACTCAATCAAGCGGGCAAACCAGGCGAGAAGCGTACGGACGGCATCAAGGTTACGTCGCGCGAGAGCACGTTCGCCGTCTCTTGGATATGGTATAATGTTTCGGCCGCAGAATGCTTAGAAATATCGGACGGTACGTTGTATAGGGTGATCAATCGTCTCGAAATGAGTTACTGACGATATCCATAGCGCTCATGGTCGAGTGGTGTAAGGCACGTGCCCGCGCTCAGCGTTCGGTTGAGGAGGTCATCACCCTATTGCGCGAGATGGACTCGATACTGCGGGAGTGTGAGAGCGAGGTAGCGCTATGGGAGGCTCGCGCGCTACGGGTGTAGGAGTACTGATCCAACTGGGCCCGTAAACTTTCTAATCGAGACCAGGCGCAGTGAAGTTTGCCAACTCCAGAATGGTATTGTATTGTACAGTGGTATTGCCTTGTCAAGTTGGCCACGGTGTCAGTGAGAAGACCCGCAGACATGCTTCCGTGCGGGCCGTTCACTAGGATAGCTAGTGTTGCGTATCAGACTTGCAAGGGTGCTAGTGATGGACACCGTGGCCTCAACTTCCCAATCTGCGCCGAAGTCCCTTTGCGAGAGATCGGTCGTGGAGGAGGTGAAGGAGGTTGAATGTTGAGCATTCAAACCAAACTCGAACCATATGGTCAGTCTCTATATGGGACTCACCCTGTATGTTGATGCCAGTGGAGGAGTTCATCCAACGGGAGGACAATATCAGAGAAGCCACGAGCTCATTGATACGTACCTGTTGCAAGAACACGAGAGTCAAGGGAGAGAGAGAAGTGAACAAGAAAAGCCGATTGCAGGACTGGGGACTCTATGGTCATCCTGAA